GCTCTCTTCCTGGGATACACCATTAAAGGTGGCAGAACATGTCCAGATGCTGATACACATGCAAGAACAGTGTGTAACTTTCCTCTTTCTGCTGAAGAGATGGAATATACTGTTCGCCTCCCAACTTGAGCAATGACTATTCCAGGACGATGCACGACAGAGACTCCAGTCTCATCAGTATTATATATTTGGTTTGGCTTTGAGAATAGGTTTAGTCTGCCATACAATGCTCCAACTTTTCCAAAGAATTCACTGACTACATCAGGAGAAGCTGAAACAGCTCTATTATATGATAATGGTAAAGGAGTACGAATGGTAAGTTCAGGATGGCGTCTTCGAAAACCTTCGAACCATGACCTCCCAGCAGAATCACCTGTAAATGAATGCTTGCGACCTGTCTTCTCTACAATGGTGTAAGCAATACGCATAACAATTTCTCTATTGACACCATAACCCATATCAGCCATTGCTATTAAGTATTCTGCTACTTTGTCTTCTTCATCTCTTGAAAGTACTATGGGTGGTCCTGGCTTGCTCCATTAACCCTTCGTCTTAAAGTCTCCACTGGAACATTATATAGTCGTGCAGCCTCTCTCAGTCCCTTCCCTTCTTCTGTTACACAGGAGACAGCAGCTTGCATTGAAATATCCGACCAAAGTTTTCTCTTAGAAGCCATCTAATATGTATGTTAATTCAGTAGTGAAGATGGGTGGGCACTGTTTTAGAATACATTCATGCAACTCATTGATGCTAAATTCGGTATATACTCAATTGTAATATTAAAAGCAGACAGAAAGATAATTTGTGGAAAGAAGCAATAAAAGGCCCAGTGTCAGTTTTGATAAAGCTTGGTCTCGGTTACATTATTATGTTTACATATGCACAAGCACTAGTAACAGCTGCTTACCAAGTACTCCGGCTATAAGGAGTGAGAAAACAGTACTGCTCACAGTGAGGCTAGAGACACGTTTTACTATGTTTTCACTAGTTCACGACAGGGCAACGTGCTTAATTAATTTGCAGGTTGAAAGGCGTGGTGATTAGTTTAATAATTAAAACTAAACAATTATTTTTTTGCTCAAAATGATGCACATTTGAAACTTTTTACTTTTCAGCATTTAGAATCTCATGAAAGCATCTTATATTGAAAATGTTATAGAATTTCGTTGCATTGTCTCATAAAAGGTACTGTCTCATGTTACGCCCACATACTCTACTTGGTTTTGGTGACATAAGTTCTACCGTTACCGTAATGGCAATTCCTCCTAGTCTCGCGTAGCCAGACCACACCCTCCGTGCCTCCGGGAGGGTCTGGTCAACTGAGCATTCCTTCTTCGTTCTGCTTCACCCAAAACTGGGTGAACCGGATGCGGTTACACGTGGTCAACTGACGTAATGTCGGTCCGTATACTTACACACACTATCGGTAACTACGCCACGTGAATCATCGTGGTATGGAGCCACAACAGGCACTCTCTCGGGCTGAAGACAAACTTAAAATTACTCTTAAGGATAAGCAAAAGGAGGCTGTGCTTGCTGTGCTTAATAGAAAAGATGTCTTTTGTGTTCTTCCTACAGGCTATGGGAAGTCAATGGTTTATGGGATTTTGCCAATAGCCTTTGATATTTTATTAGGTAAGTCTTACTGGTTACTATTTTTGAAAAATCACTCCTTTCTATTAAAGGACGTGAGCATGGAGAGAGTATTGTGATCTGTGTTTCTCCATTAAATTCACTAATGATGGATC